TATAATAGCCTGCCGCTCTTTTGTACTAGAGCGAGCGTTGTAGACCTACAGCTTGAAGCCAGTCTGGCGCAGCTTCTGGAACACACCGTTGTGATCATACTTCTTCGACACAGTGTGTAGCAGCTTAATGTTATCCTTCCCGTAATGACTGAAAGGTTTCTCATCTTTCCACGCGTAGTTCAGGTAGACCCAATCAATCCAATGCCCAGCCTTCTTCTCCGCCTTATTAATGGCGTCAACGAACTCGCGTGCAATTGGCAGGATCACCTTCTGGTTCTCCTCAGTGTCGACGGTCAGCGAAACAAGCCACATGAGGACTGGGCCGTCTTTGACCACGCGCTCAAGGCCGAGGATGTTGCCCCCGCGCTTCACACTGTTATCGACCATGGAGTTGGTGACGGGCTGTAACTCGACGAGGGTGCTGAAGTTAGAGTTGGGTGCGGCGGCCTGCATCATGGTGGCGTATTTGTGATGTAGGTCATCGATGATGGTAAGGGCCTCAAGGGTGTTGGTGGCCATACCAGTGAACCAGTTGGCGCTACAAGGTGTTAGTAGATGACTATATGAAAGACCACACAGAAGCTGGGATGAATGTTGAAACTTACTAGAGACCAAGAGGCGTGGGACCGGTAAACTGGGGGATAATCTCAGATATGGGTCCCGAGGTCACAGTGCTGGAGGTGTTAGACAGTGCAAGGAAACCATCGAAAGCGGGGGCATTAGCAACGCCCATATTATTGGTCAAGATGGATCGAATAGAAAACCCAGTAAAGTCATAATACAGGGCAACGATGGCCTGGTCGGGGGAGTTCTCTTCGGTTTTCTCCACAAAGTCGAGGTATGCGACGAAGACGTTGTCTCTCTCGCTCAGCTCGTAGCTAGTGAAGCCACCCCAAAGCAGGGTGCCTTTGACAGTCTCTGGGATTATATTGTCAGTCGATTCCATAACTCCACCATTCTAAAATATGTCCAATTGCTTACCCTGGTCAATCCGGGTAACGAAGCCCAGGTTTCCGGAGGCGCCCTTCTGGGCTTTCCAGAGGTCGGCATTATTGTTGGAGTTCGCGTTGACAACGCTCCCGTCTGCAAGAACAATCTCCCAATTCGTCACCACGTCGCAAGAAAAGCCGTGAGAGTTGCTGTGGAAGGTATACTAGGAGGTTGTTAGCCTTTGCTCGCCGGTCTGCCCACTGTGTAGAGAATGCATACTCCGCCTCCAGTGGTGAAGCCACCGACACCGACAACAGATGTCCGCGCGCCGACAGCAGCGACTCCATACGGGTTGAGAAATTCATACACAGAACCCCATCTTGCACCAGGTTGAATCGAGACAATCCCAGTGTCCGGGTTGTAGCTTGTCGAGTTCAAGTGGCCAAAGTCAACCGTGACACCCTTAGCGATGCCGCTGGAGCCTTTGAATGCCGAGTGACCACCGGCCTTGATACCAAAAGGACATTGGTTCTTGGTAAGGATCTTGACAGTGGCTTGCACATCCTTAGTGCTTTCGGGCATGACCATACACCAGGCGTGTAGCGCCGCATTGGCAGAGTAGTATGTATTCAATTGCGCATCGTACCCTACACTCCCTGGTAACAGAACCTTGCCGCGAAGCTGCTTCTCCGCTCCAAGAGCTTCGCACTAGACACAGGTCAGCGTTTCTGTTATGTTAACTGTGGGTACGAAGAGATATAAGAATAGAATAGAGGTGAGACGCGTACACAGACGCGGTGAGGATCCTGGCCCGCAATCGCTGTGGCAGCGAGTGTCGCAAACGATGCTGCAGCTGAGAACTTCATGGTGATGATGGGAATTAAACACAACAGATACAGTGACAGTGATAGCGGCAGTGTCAGCAATAGTGACAATAATGCTGAACGCTTGAAATAGCAGAGAACAAACTCACTCGTCCACGCCCAGGACAGGAGGCGATCATCTAAATATTAGGCCCCGTGGGAGCGAGCGGATAACCCACATTGTGGAGTAGTGGATACACAGATCCCCGCAAGCAACCATACGGGTCTGAAGAATCCTGCTGCATGTTGGACAAATCAATGGCTATATGCATGCACGGGTGTGGA